AGGGATCGCTAATAGCAGTGACAATGTTTCAAGACTTGCTCAGCTGCGCCGGACCGCTCGCAATAATCTTTGCCTGTGATTCCATGTTGCGATCTATGAGCCTGCTGTATGTTTGCGAAGCCAATGATAAGTTCGAGGAGATCATCCACGAGCTTCGACGTGCGTCCGACTCTCTGGCACACTCATTCATATCCCCGTATCCGCTGGGCGTGGATTAGTTCGGGCAGCCAGCACCAGGGCTTTCAGCAAATCATGGAACTGGGCAGCCAACTGTGGCAGGGCCTTGACCACATTGTTGCATTCAATCCATCTCGAGATGGACTGATGTTATATCGATAATGAAAGTTCGGAGTAAGGTGATCCCATCAACGATCGGCAACGATGCAACTACTCGCAACTTGCAGTAAAAGAAGATTTGCCAAGGGATGGATCATCAAGGCTTTGGCTACGAAACATCTCGCGCGATGAAGCGCGAATGCAGTATAGGATTTTAATAATTAAATATTAGAAAAAGATTGAAGATTTCAATGTATAATAATATCGCGAGCATCTGATTTCAGTCAGGTCGTCGAGGCAGACGGAGTCGAGATATTCGTAGCTATGCTTGGATATATGTCCAAGACGAAGCCGAACGGATCAACTGGAGAGATCGCATAGTGAACTAGACAAGAACCGATAAAGACGAAATAGAGAAGAAGTAAAATGCTGCTGAAAAGAGTAAAGACAGTATTACTATCACATAGTGAATTGCATCAGATATACTGAAAGATACAGTTTTGAATGAACCTCAGAGAAAAGGAAGAAGTATCTGAAGAAAGATTCAATTTCAGATAAATGCCCATTCTGACAAGCATCGTGGGCTTATTTATCTCTGTGATTCATCCCATATAGGTCTGGACACGGCGAGAAGGAAAAGATTCTTTTGCGCATCCTGGCAGACGCCCTGTAATGTCGACCAGGGTCGCTGCATCTCCACGGCTCAAACAGGAAGACATGAAGCTATCCGAGACAGTTCTTGCATTATGTTTCGGGAAGCCGGCGAGCAACAGGGTAGATCTTTTATACTATCATGTAGGTACTCTGCAAGAACAACTTGTACCGAGAATATTAGTGCACTTTGTTTGTTTGTCATGCAGCTGCTCAATGTCTATTAGCAGGCATGTTCGTTGTCGCCCAAATCTGGAGGAATCATTTAGACGGTAGCTTGAGGTTCTCCATGTCAGATAAGCAATATAGTGAGGAGGAACAAATTTATTGGTAATATTCTTCAATAGAGGTATCGATACAATCATCCCAGAACAAAATGATGGCCTTTCTGCTCTTCAATACCATCGTGAGCTACCTTATGTGTGGGAGAAAACACAGGGGCCCAATGGCCGAATGTTTCTCTTTGTTCATGATCTGCTTAGCGCGTTCTCCATGTGGAATCGAACTGCTTGCCCAACTGGTCAGTAGAGCCCGCAGAAAATGGTACGTACCTGCGTATCTAAAGGATGTATCCACTCCTAGCATATCACCCATAAACATCACCTTCCGAGGCAGATACACGACTATCCAGCCAAAAGAGGTGGATACTAAGCCATCTAACACTGTCAGAGCCGAAGCACCGGCTGAGAGGGGTAACTTGACGCATAAGGAAGGAGAAAGCAGAGAAGCTTCTCAGCGTGATTGCTGATATCAAACTGTCGGATTGACCCAATCAAAATGAGCGAGCCTCAAGGCCCAGTACTGCAGCTTCCTGATGGTGTTGATGCTCAAAAGCCACTTGACCTCTTTAGTCTTTTCTTTACTGAGGAGAAGTTTGACGACGATTGCAAGAAACACCAACACCTACGCCGAGATCAAGCGCGTCTCGCTTCCCGACCAGGCTCGGCCTTGAGCCCCTACGGATGGGAATGAGATAAGAGTTTTTGTTGGGGCACTCATCTATATGGGGATCTGGAAGGAACAAGCCACGCGCTGCATCCAGTACGTCAATATATGAGTCTTACGCGATCCCAGCAGCTCAAACGATACTTGCAAATGTCACCGCATGCGCCGGACCCTCCGGAAAATGAGCCTCGAGGTGAGGCCGAACGCGATATCGAAGCTCTGTGGGGGAAGCTTGAGCCACTGATTTCAGAATTCCGATCTGCCTCTGAGAGATATCGCCAGCCCTCAAGGAATTATCGCAATTGATCAGTTAATCATACCACGCTCTGGACGATCAATTCACACGTACAAAATGCAAGGTCATCCGCGATATGTTGATATTGCAGATCAGCTTCGCACAAGCTATAAAGCTCCTCATCAGCTTTGTGCTTGGTGGCCACTTTCTTATGGATGCAGCTGTGGGCAATGCCTGGCAATTCAGCAGTATACATGCACAGCAGTCAAAACAACGGAAACCTACGCAGCTTCAATTCCGCCAGCAGCTTTTCCGGGCTTTATTCCGGTATCGAAGCGTACCAACATATCAGCCCAAGCGCAAGGCTGCATGTGTCCATCTCCCAGATAGCCGATTGGATAGCTCTCTTGAGCATGAGGTGGAGCAGATAGACAAGCAGACAATGTGTACTTGGTGTCTCCATATAAACTATAGGCGGCAGCGAAATCCCGTCTGTCTACCGATATTGCGGGCCAGCCTCCCTCAGTGGAATTGTAAGGCCTGCAAGGTGCCTCTCTGCCCGCCTCATTCAAGACGTACTTGCTGGAAGGATTTCCATAGTTGGGTTGAGTGAAAGTTGAGTGGAACCTTGTCATGGCCAATTCGGCTCCATAGTTCATTGTCCCGAAAGGTTTAGCCCAATACGACGATGGCAAGTATTGCCGATTCGTGGGAGTGAGTGTCAAGGGTGCTCATTCTCAGCCCAATCTTCTGTAACCTCTCATTTCTGAAGGAATCAATTTCAAGAAAGGGGCAGTATTGGGAAGAACTGCACTGCAGAACTGTCACTCCGCAGATCCTGTTGTGCGACTGTAGCTCAGGTCCTGTCAACCATGAGCATTGCTTCATAGTCGACTGCGATTGCAAACTCTCCGATTACAGTCAAGATGCTTGAAGCTCAAATCGCATCATCCATCAGTAGCCGATCATGGGATAAGACGTTCTCGGCCGCTTGAATGTCAGTTTAATCTGAATATGAACCAACCCCTGTCCAAGGTTACATCACAAAAGTACTGTACATCCTCCCTGCTTCCTCAAGCGCATGGCATGATTTCTGCAGTACCACATCGGAGTCGCCCTTCGTCAAATATGAAGAACATGCACATCAAACCGGCAACCTGAAGCGATTGACATTTACCAGCATCAATGTCGAGAACTCAGCCAGCCTCCTCGCTTTGGCATGACGCCTCAAGCTGCCGCTCCGCAGCAACCTCACCTCGAGCCAGGCTAGCAATCTGAACAGCAGAACAATCTCGCTAGAATCCAATGTCCAGACCATACTATGTCTCAGCCACGGCGGGGGACCGAAATATCCTTGCTCGAGACAGCTGAACAGCAGCTGAAGAAACATCCCAACTAGTGATGCCTCCGTCCTGTGCAATGAACAACCTATAAATACGGCTCAGTCGCTCGCAATTATGGCTTAGATCAAATCACTACAGCACAGCAACAGACTACCTTCGTCATGCAGACCAATCCCCTTTTGTTGAAAGCCATCTGGCATCTCGTTCTTCCGCTGCTGGCTACCTCGGCCACAGCAGCCCCATACCAAACCCGCATCCTCGAGACTGGGACCACCTTTGGCTCTCCAGACCCCTACGGCCCTTGGTCCTTGACTCCCTCCTTCGCCAACAAACCTGGTCCAGACTTGGGCTACATCAAAACCAGCAACACCGGCACCGGCAAGGTGGAAGTCCACCTCGCCTCCAGAGCCTCCAACTACCAGACCCGCACGCTGGAGCTTGGCACGACTTTCTGGCCCGAAGACAATGGCGTCTGGCAGCTGATTGACGCCGACGGTGATGGCCGTGATGATCTCGTGTACATCAAGACCCGCAACACAGGCACCGGCCGAGTCGAAGTGCACATTGCCTCGGCGGCGTCCAACTTTCAGACCCGCATCAAGGAAGTCGGCACGACTTTCTTGCCTGAAGATAACGGAACCTGGCAGATGGCCGATTTTGACGGCGATGGCATCCTCGACCTGATCTATATCAAGACCCGGAATACCGGAACTGGACGGGTCGAGGTGCATGTCGCCTCTGGCGCATCGAACTACCAGACTCGCGTCCAGGAAGTCGGCACAACCTTCTACCCCGAGGACAATGGAGTGTGGCAAATGATTGATTTCAATCGAGATAGGAAGCTGGACCTGGTCTATATCAAGACTAGGAACACGGGAACTGGCCGTGTGGAGGTTCATGTCGCGTCTGGGGCGTCGACATATCAGACCCGTGTCCAGGAGGTCGGCACCACGTTCTATCCCGAGGACAACGGGTTCTGGCAGATGATTGATTTCAATAAGGATGGGGTGCTGGATTTGGCGTTCGTCAAGACGCAGAATACAGGGACCGGACGGATTGAGGTTCACGTTGCAACTGGCAGGAATTGAGCACCTGTATCTAGGTGCGCCACATCCTCTACATCATCATTAACTCGCCTCTCAAGCACCACCAATCTAACTCATATTCATATTCATATCCGTAAACTAAAACCTTATTCAAATGCCCATCGAGAACAACGCGGACGCCCGCCCTTCCCTCCTTCACAACCACGATCTCCACCCTGCACCAACCCTAAGACTTACGCCTTCGGATCAACACTGTAAGCCATCTCCCCAATAATCCACCTATACGTCGCGTAGTCACTTGTGAGCGCTAGAAGAAATTGTATTCGTGGATAGTTCTGCACATCAATCTTAGATCGAGGGTCATATGCAAGATGAGTTGGCATGGCATGGCATGGCGGGGTCTCCAGAGTAGATATCCTCAACAATCCGCATGTACTCACGAGCATCAGCATCAAGCATCATCACATACATAGTATCCAAGTGAACACTACCTGATACTGCAAAATGTCCACCACAGCAACATCAACCTCAACCTCAACAAAAACCACCCTCCTCACCCCCCGTATCCTCTCCGTCTCCAAATCCTCCTCGCACACCATCGCCAAAACCCCCGTCCCATCCATCACCCTCATCCCCAACCACGGCGTCGACGGCGACTGCCACGCAGGCCAAACCACCCAGCACCGCGCCCAGGCGCAAGCGCAGCGCACCCCCAATCTCAGACAGGTACATCTCGTCCCCGTCGAGACACTCCGCGAACTCTCGGGGAGACTTTCTGCTGCTGCAAAGCCACTCTCGGCTGGCGAGATCGGCGAGAATATCACCACTGAAGGGGTAGAGCTATCGACGCTCCCGCTCGGGACGGAGGTGCACTTCCTCGGTGGGGACGGTAAAGAGGCGGCTATTGTTGTGTTGACGGGTGTTCGGGAGCCGGGGCCGGGGATCGATAAGTGTCGGGCTGGACTGAGGGATGTGTGTGTGGTAAGGGATGGGAGTCGGGTTGTCAAAAGGTTGGCTGGGGTGATGGGGACGGTTAAGAAGGGGGGGATGCTTAGGCCGGGGATGGGGATTAGGATTGTGAAGCCGGCGGGTGCGAGTGTGCGGCCGTTGCCTGTTGTGTAGTGTGTAGTGTGTAGTGTGAGCAGGGAATGCTAGCTGGTTTTCGTACGGTGTCTCTTGCTCGAGTCTGCTTTGTACGTCGCCGTAAGTCCTTTCTTAATGCGTATGTGCGTTCGAAGTGGACTTGACGTAGGATTACTCTAGTGCAGTGTATGTGCCCCGGCATTCCTGTAGCATCTTTCATGGCACACGTCCGAATTAAAAGGATCAAGTATCTACCAGAGAAATTGTCGCTGGAAAGCTACCGAGGGCGCTTCACTCCAGAGGCTTGGTCCCGGGGGCGTCCCAGCGTGTAAGGGCTGAGTATCTTCTGACCGGGTACGCTCCAATGAGGGTATATAGATGGATCCGCTTGCTGTTGGCGATTTTCTCAACTCATTAAACGAGTCGTAACCTTTCTTCCATGCCAACAGTTGATTAATGCCCTTACTGTGGTCCGCTTGAGTGGATTTCAGTCCCAGTTCGCATGCACTTGTAGCCTGTTCAAAATGAGGTACAGGGTGCTCTGTTTGCTGACTCTCCGGCGCTGGACCATTTTCGTCAGGTTCGACTTCCGGTTGTGCAGAAACGTCGGTGCGTCTCGACGGCGACGTCACAGCAGGGCCAGCCACTCTTGTTTCTGCCAAACAATCTTGCTGCCACTTTCGAAGATCACGAGCCGTGCGCAATGGATATCGTCTCCAATATTGAGCGTCGTTCTTCGCGGAACGCAAAAAGGGTGACTGGTCCCGTTCAAGAGCAGTCGATAACTGCTTGTCAGTCATGTGAGCCAGCAATCTCAACAGTATCTGTTCCGTCTCATGCAGACGATGTTCGAGCGCTTCAATATATCCCTTTGCGGGTCCTCTGGCTTGGTGAGACTTGTACGTCTACCTTCAGGACTGGAAACGAACCGTTTGAGCTGTTCAGGCCAGTCACACTGCCGATGGGATTGGATGCATTGAGTACATATCGGCCTTGGCAGTCAGTGAGCCTGCCTTGAAATCATTAGGACAGCTTACTTGTTGCCGCTGCACTGCAGTTCTGTCAGCAAGAGGATATCAGTGAACGAGGAGGCACTCACTTTCTGCTTACGGGACCGGCAGGAATTACAGGCCACTGTGATCCGAGATGGTTTGGAACCTTTGCTGCTTTTACTGGAAGACATGTTCACAATAGTAATATTTCTACTGATTTGGTAAAATATTGAGGAACCGATCTCTTGACTTAATGGATGATGGCGCTTCCATCCTAATCGGGACAAGCGCGGGATTATCTACAGGCTAAAGGTTTAACCGACGGTTCTCTCCAACAACAGCAGCCGGTAACCCAGTAATACGATGGAAACATCACCATCTCTGGGAAACGTAACTGCAAGGGTGAAACTTCAGGCGCATTACGCTCATCCCTTTCCACCGAAAGCTACCCTGTCTTCTGAAGGCATGACATCGGCATATATAGAGGGTGCGGGCCTGTTGGCTCCTCAGCACTCCCTTCACTTCGAACATATTCACGGAGGAATAAAAGCAAAATGGCATCTATAGTTCCAACTACCTACCGTGTCGCGTCCATTCCAGGAGATGGTATTGGGCCGGAAGTCGTTGAAGCGACGATCCAGGTCGTTAAGAAGCTTTGCCAAAAGTTACAAACATTCGACATCGACTTCACTCACATCCCATGGGGCACGCAATACTACAAGGCATATGGTCGGTATGCATCAGAAGACTGTCTGGACACACTGCAACGGTTTGATGCAGTATTGTTCGGCGCCGTAGGCGCTCCAGGTATGATTGTCCTTGCTGATCGACTTTGGCCAACCAACAATTGACGGCGGCGTAGATGTTCCTGACCACATCTCGCTTTGGGGTCTTTTGTTGGCAATTCGAGGACCTCTACAGTTGTACGCCAATGTCCGCCCGGTACGCACCTTCCCTGGCACAAAATGTCCGCTTAATACCGCGATAAACGGCATCGACTGGGTTCTCGTACGCGAAAACTCAGAGGGCGAATATTCTGGCCAGGGCGGGCGCAGTCACGTCGGCCAGCTGTGGGAAGCTGCGACGGAGGTTGCCATATTCACACGGGTTGGAATCGAGAGAATCATGAGATTTGCATTCGAAACAGCACGCTCAAGACCGCGTCGTCACTTGACAGTCGTCACTAAAAGCAACTCGATGCGCAACGGCATGGTCTTGTGGGATCAAGTGGCCGCAGAGGTCGCCGGGAATTTTCCTGATGTCACCTGGGACAAGATGCTAGTGGATGCTATGACGATCCGCATGGTGGCCAAACCCGACTCCCTGGACACTATCGTCGGAACCAACCTGCACATGGACATTCTGTCGGACTTGGCTGCCGCACTGGCAGGATCAATTGGAGTCGCTCCCTCTAGCAATCTAGACCCAACAAGGAAGAATCCGTCCTTGTTTGAGCCTGTGCATGGAAGCGCTTTCGACATCACTGGCAAGGGTGTAGCCAATCCTGTAGCCACGTTCTGGTCGGCTGCAGAGATGCTTGCTTGGCTAGGCGAGAAGGACGCTGCAAAGCAGTTGATGGGATGTGTTGAACGGGTGTGCGCTGCTGGAGTTCTGACTCCAGATCTTGGAGGGACCGCAAATACTCAAGGGGTTGTCGAAGCGGTATGCGCAGAAATTGAGCGCTTGGTTCTGCGACATGATTGATTTTATCTGGATATACTCCTTACTCCCTAGAACTTTCTTTTGGATAAAGTTCACCGATGCAGACACTCGACCACGGCTCATTGGGAGTAGCTCTAAGTCAACCTGCATCACGCGCCTACTTTCCTTGATCTCCCCAGAGCAGCTAAGATCTTTCTTTCTTTTCTTCTCATCGCAATTATTCCATGGTCTTCCATTTCATTGTCGTAGTTTTGCCGTTCAAGTTGTCGGCTGCTAGCGGTTGGCGGCGGGTATCTTTTCCGAACGACGTCAACCTCCGACGATAAACGGCATTTACGGCATTCTTTTCCACTGGGACCATCGGATTCTTCACAATAGCCGTTGTATGACCGCTGTCTCTCGTTCGGATTGGCCCTTGAAGCTGGCCCCCGGTATCGCAATGTGTTCATCTCTACCGTAATGGGTCAAATAGCAGCTCTCCGCCGCTGCTTAAATACCGTCGTTATGCTGAGATCCGGACGAGGATAGACTGACCCTTCAACCCTATACAGCAGATCTACCTTCACAATGGCTCCAGCCCAGATAGACGAGGGTCTTCGACACACTGCCATTACAAGTGATGCAACCTATGTCAAGTCTGTCGCCAAGTCAACGCCATCTCGATTCTCCTCCCTGTCCGTGCCGCCCGTCGATGAGCCGTTCACACTTCAAGCCGAATATCTGAGTGACAGTCACCCTGACAAAGTCAATCTAGGCATCGGCGTGTATCGCACAGAGGATGGTGATCCTTGGCCCCTGAGCGTGGTGGAACAGGCCGAGGCACAGCTCTTCCATGCGAACAACGTCGCCAGACACGAGTACCTGACCATCCAGGGCGACCTCAAGTTCTTAGCTCTAGCTCGCGACCTGGTCTTTGGGTTTGGAAAGTCTGCTGGTAACGAGCAGACCGCAGCACAAGACCGGATTGCCTCAATTCAGACGATCTCGGGGACAGGCGCAAACAGATTAGGGGCGGATTTTCTCGCGCGCACCATCAGGCCTTCTTGCGTTTGGATTCCGGATCCCACCTGGGCCAACCACTACACGATTTGGGAGCTCGTCGGGGTTGAGGTCCGGACGTATCCATACTATGACCACAAGGGTAAATGCTTCGATTATGAACGCACAACGCGGCTGCTCTCCGCGCAAGCGAAGAAGGGCGATGTCGTGATCCTTCACGCCTGCGCACATAATCCCACCGGCGCTGATCCCAGCAAGGAACAGTGGCGTAAACTCGCCGTGCTCTGCCAGCAAAAAGGTCTGGTGCCATTCTTTGACCTGGCGTACCAGGGGTTCGCATCAGGGAGCCTCGACGAGGATGCATGGGCCATCAGACACTTCATGAATTGCAAGCCCGAACTGGAGTTCTGTGTTGCGCAGTCCTTTTCCAAAAACTTCGGTCTCTATGGGCAGCGCACTGGCGCCCTGCATGTGGTGACGAGTTCGAGCTCGGGGACTTTGCCGCAGGTTGTGTTGGCCAATCTTTCTCATCTTGTTCGTGGAGAGTACTCCATGGCTCCCCGAGGCGGATCCGAGATTGTCAGGACCGTCCTCAGCGATGAGGGTTTGAGACAGCAATGGTATGAAGACCTGAAGCACATGAGCGGGCGGATCAAACAGATGCGCCAGGCATTATATGATGAGTTGATCCGTCTGGGCACACCAGGCACATGGAACCATGTTCTGGAACAGGTAGGCGTTATTTCGTCCTGAGATTCAGGGTTGAGTTTATTCGCTGACAAAATTAGATTGGCATGTTCACGTACACCGGGTTGACCGAGACTCAAGTGCTCGAGATTCGACGACGACATCACGTCTATATGATGAGATCAGGACGGATCTCCATGGCTGGCTGTAAGTGCCCGTCTCCCTTGCTAGAATCTCTCGCAACACTGACGGTCCCAATAGTGAACAGGAAAAACGTCCGCTACGTCGCCAAAGCGATTGATGATATTGTACGAACCGTGGCATGACCTTTCCTACATTTTCAATGGCTATCTTCATCTTGATACCTGTATATATGTAACTCTGGCGGTATATATACTTTGACATTTGGCAAGATAGAACAATGTGATTAGTTCGGAGTAATGTGTGTCTCCTTGAGACTATTCCCAATGCCCGGTAACTTCACTGACTCAATCTTATTAACAGTCAGTCTCTTAACATGGTAACTTAATGATGCCACTCCATCACAGCATTCACTATCCACGATGTACTGTGACGCACCTTTGCCCCTCTGCTTTTCCATGCAGACCCTTTCAACATCCATAGATTATCATACTCAAAAGTCCCCTTACTCGAAGATGTGATACTCCCCGGTGGTTTAAGTTAGAATACACAGGAGGTTTCATCCGCAGCAATAAGTCTAGGAAAGTAGCAAGACTGCTTTAGCTATCACACGAAACATCATCCATGAAGAATGGCCTCGCTCTTAAGCGCTGCTGTTGACGACTCGGTCGAGACAGAGGATTCCAGTGAGAAACATGCGCAGTTATCCGACCTAACATCTTTTCTTTCTATAGCCGCCAGGCGGGTATAAAAACATCGTTGATCTCGAAGAGCATGGATATGATCCAGTTTGGACGAGCCGGGGATATCCCCCCTAAAATTGCTGAGTACTTTGAGGAAGATGGAACTGCAGGTAGGCATCTTAGCTGTGAGGTAATAACAGGAACTTATACCTAACTCTCATTTATCATTGAAGCCTACAGAGAAGTAATAGGTGCCATTAAAAACCTATTCTGGATTGGCCGTTACGATAACGGGTTTGGACCTGGGTTGTATACTTTTAACGACTTCTCATACACACACACATATGCCCTCTGCTCTGGTGCATCATGCTCTTCAAGACCCCGATATTCAGGGTGTCAAAGTCTGGAAACCAAGCCTTGATCAATGGAAGCAGTTGGTACCAACATGGACACTCTCAGATCTGTCCGTCCCTGATGAGCACAGGGATGCAGATCTTGCCATGTCCTCCCTGCTGTGTTGACCCTACTGTGCTATCATCTTACTAGCTAGAGATGGTTTGTCTGGACACCTTATTGGCTGACTGGTTTGATGTATGACAATCAGAAATAGAGATCCTTCACCTTTTTTCATCATCCAAGACCTGCAAGAGGCGTACAAGAATCGACCGTTATGTGATGACTAAGCAAGCGTTGATGGAGAGAAAGAAACTAAACTGGCGAGGAAGAGCAGTCAACCTTTGCTTGTCCATCAACTGAGCAGCATCGTAGTCTGTTCTGAACTGTTGATTCAGGCAAAGCCTATCTAGGACTGGTCAAGGCACCATGTCCCCGTCAGGATGGACTCTTCGGATCTCACCTCTGGCCCGTCGGAGATTGGTTCCCTGACAGCGCACTCGAACGAAGAGAGCCAGTTCGTTGGCAGTTCCAGCGGCGTCTTTTTCATCAATACCGTTCGACGTGCATTCTCCAAGGACTTCGATTCCTCTAAAATAAGTTTGCCTCTGCCGGAAGACACGCTTGTGGGCAGCGACGAGTCGCATGCTGATCAGTCCCCGGCGACCGCCCGCTCTCAGTCCGTGTCTGGGCCGTCTGCCTCTCTTTCTAAGTGGCAGTATGATTTGGAAATCGCTCATGAGCTCGGCAAGGCCCCGCCGCTGGACTTGGCGAGGGAGCTTATGATGGTCTACTTCAAAGTGTGGCATCCCCTGTTCCCGTTTCTACATGGCCCCAGCTTCCTGCGGGCGATGGAGTTGCTTTACTCAGACTCGCACGAGACTGAAGGGGAGAATCATGGGAATATCCCGTCTACATCTCCCGACCACAGGAACGCGTGCTGGACGACAATCTTTCAGTGCGTGTTCAATCTCGCAAGCCACCTTCGACCCGATCTGACCCTTCCGCCGGAATCCCGAATCAAGTCCCCGGGGAGCATGCATTCCTTGCTCGCGATCCTAACGCGGAGGCAGGATCTCCCCTCTCTGCAGGCTCTTCTCGCGGCACAGTTGTATCTGGTAGCCAAGATGTCTCTTCGGACGGCGTCAACGGTAGGCGGCTGTATTCTGCGGTCTATGCTGCACGCGGGTCTCCATCGGTGCCCGTTTCGCTACAAAGAGCTTTCGAGTCACGACCGGCAGTTGCGCAAAAGGATTTTCTGGTGCGCGTATGCTATCGACCGCTACCTGAGCCAGGCTCTGGGCTTGCCTCTAGGTATACAGGATTCGGACGTTGACGTCTGCGCTCCAGGAGCCCATGAGGTGCATTCGCCCGGTTTGCACAAGGTCCGGGACACGAGTGAGGGCTCTACGCCGCGTTTTGCTACAGGCAGTCCCGGAAAGGGCACACTGGCTCCATCCACAGCTGCACAGATTGAGCTCACCAACCCCCAACATCCGCCACAACACCGAAACTCCAGCGGCATCATAGACTCCAGTGAACACGAACAACATCAGAGAGAAATAGCGTTCATGAGCTACGTCGAATCCGGAAAACTGACCGGCCGCGCGCTAGAGCTCTTCCACAAGTCCATCCTCGTCCGCTCCGTTCGCCGCAGCTCCGTCCTCATCCTCGTCACAGACGTGCACAAATGGTGGAACAGCCTTCCCCCAGCCCTCCAAGGCAGCCCCGCCAGCATCAACGACTCCACATCCCCACGATCACAGAATGACGAACCCTTCCACTTCGGCCCCTTCTTCACAGTCCTCTACCACCACCTCATCCTCCTCATCAACCGTCCCTCTCTCTCCCTTCCCCCCTCAACGCCCGAGTTCAACTCCGGCCTGCAAACCTGCATCGGCGCCGCAAGAGGCATCCTCTCCGCACTCCGCGCCCAGATCGACGCAAACCAGGCCCTCTTCTGGCCGGGCTTCCTCTCCGCAGCCTGGATGGCAGGCCTAGTCCTCGCCTTCGCCTGCCAGCTTGAACAGTACGTCTGGTCTAAGGGGTCTCTGTAAGTTCCCCGGCTGGTCCTACAAAATGAGAAATCGAACTAATATCGTTCTAACAGCGAAATAAACGACTGCCTCACCTTCCTCCGAATCATGTCCGCGCACTGGGAGACAGCAAAACACTGCCATCGAGCATTGAGCCTCCTCGCCGAGAACATCCGGCAGTCCTTTACCTCTTCACAGCAGCCTCGTAGCTCAACGTCCACGTTGACCTCGACTCCGAACCCGAACATCAATCACTCCTCACACGAGGAACACGCAATCGCAAACCCAACCAAGAGACGAAAACTTTCCTCCCATGATTCCTCGGTTCCTCTTGCGAGTGCCACTGTTAGTGCGGAGTCGATAGGCGGAGGAGATCTAGGTCCCCTGAATGCACCCGAGTCGGGAGATGTGCCACTGCAGAATGAGCTCAATACGATCATTCCGACTACCGACACGGATTATCTCGGCCTACCTGATTTTGACCTGAACACGGTGGATTTGCTTCAGGGAGCGAACTTTGACTATCTACTTGATATGTTCGGGCAGCAGTATCCAAGTTTTTGAAATCTACCTATCATCTAGTTTGTCTCCTGTGCTCATACTTTTCAGACGATGTGACTTGGAACGTAGAATACGCATTACATGTAGCATGCTAATCCTACTCTACGATATCGAGAGGAGCCAAATCCCGTGAGGAAGTCATAAGTCTATATTACACTCGTGTCAAATAAGAAAGATACGAGAGTAGCCATGTTAATCGGGATAGGAAGAGAAAAGACGTCACAACTTCCTCCCTTCAACAGCAACTGAAAAACCCATGGTGTCCGAACAGACTTTTCCTCCGACCCGAGCACGGCTGGAAATCCAATTTGTCTTTGCCATCTGCTGAAATGAAACAAGACCGGCTCCAGCAGCAGCCATTGCCGGCTCTTAAACAAGACAGACGAAGCACGTGTAGCTACGGGATCCGGCAAAACAGCATGTCGATCGCAACACAGGCACGTGACACCACCAGCAAAAAAACTTTTCGAAACAGGAGGGATATCAGGACCGGGAGGGAAAAAAGAAAAGGTAAAAAAAAAAAGTTTCGAAGGTAAAAAGGAAATAAGAGGAGGTGTAGGAATAGAGGGAGATTCGTTAATTGGAGAAAAGAGAAAGGTAGGTCATCAAAAATAGACGTGAATCAAAATCTCAGAGTTGGGAGGACCAGCTCAGCATCAGATACCAAGACACGTAGTCTACGACTTGTTCTCTTCCGTAGCAGTCTCAGCGGCATCCTCCTTGGGCTTGGCAGACTCAGCAGGAGCCTCGCCCTCACCCTTGTTCTTCATGTACTCGTCGTAAACGCTAAGGGCCTCGTCGACCTTGGCGCGAAGGGCTTCTTCATCCTCGAGACTAGAGAAGACGTTAGCATTCGTTCGGACGAAACTGACTTGAAAAAGAGAAAACTTACAGGCCAAGCAATTCAGTGTTGTCCATCTCCAGAAGCATACCAGTGATCTTGCCAGCCAGCTCGGGCTGCTGAGCTTGAATCTTGGGGTAGAGAGCCTCACCCAGCATCTGCTTCTGCTGAGGAGGGGGGACAGCATTGAGACTCTGGGCAGTGAGACCACCAGTGGCGGGAGCCTCCTCGCGACCGGCGGCGGGAGGAGCAGCGGCGGGCTGACCGCGACCACCCTGAGGACGAGGGCCTCCCTGGACGGGGGCGCCACCACGGCCCTGTCCGTAACCGGGACCACGCATACCCTGACCCATGGGCATTCCGGGCACCTGACCACGGCCACCAGCACCACGTCCGAACTGTACCTGAGCCATCTGAGGGTAACCCATACCGTTAGGAATGCCACCGGGGCCCTGCATGGCGCCCATGGGGATGCCTTGGAAGTTGGGAGGAATCTGCTGGTTGGGTCCCATGCCACGTCCACCCTGCTGACCAGGGAAGGGACCGGGGTACTGGCCGGGGCGTCCACCGGGGATGCCCATCACCATACCGGGCTGGGGAGCGAAAGGCATGCCACCGCGCTGACCAGCGGGGATGAAGCCCTGCTGACCGGGACCGTAGAAGACAGCGGGCTGCATGTACTGAATTTAGAGTTAGCAACTGTGTTCCATTCTACGAGCGAACGTCCAATAACGCGAAAATCAGGGATACATACCGGCTGGGGCATACCAGCGGCAGCGGCGGCCTGCTGCTGACGGATGGTGTTGCGGGCCTGGATGCTAGCCTCCAGCTGGCTTCTGCGGACATCCTTGCGCTGGGCAAGAGCCACATACAGAGGCTTGCCGTTGACCATTCTCTGGTTCATCTCAGTGACGGCCTTGGAGGCCTCATCGGGGCTGCTGAAGCAGACGAAACCGAAGCCCTTGCTCTTTCCAAGGATCTTCTTCTCGGTCTTCTTGGGCTCCTCCTCAGACTCCTTGGGCTTCTCCTCGGTCTTCTCCTCACCTTCCTTCTCGTTCTCCTTGTTCTCCTCCTTCTCCTTCTCGGACTCGGAGCTCTCGCCGGGGGTGACGGTGTCACGCATGACCTTGGCGGAGGTGATGGTGCCGAAGGGGCTGAAGAGCTCGCGCAGCTTCTCGTCGTCAACATCATCAGTGAGGTTCTTCACATAGAGGTTGACACCCTGGTACTTGGAGGCCTTCTCCAGGCGAGCGGCCTCGTACTGCTTGCGCAGCTCCTCCTCACGCTCGTGCTTCTTCTGGGCACGGCCAACGTAGAGCTTCTGGCCCTTGATCTCCTTGTCGTTCATCTCGTCGACGGCGGCCTGCGCGCTCTCGTGGGTGGCGAAGTTCACGAAACCGAAACCACGGCTCTTACCCTCCTGGTCGCGGCTCAGAGTGGCGGAGGTGATCTCACCGAACTTCTCGAACATCTTGCGGAACTCTTCATCGGTGACTTCCTGGTCAATGTTCTTGATGTAGACGTTGGTGAAGTTGGCCTTCATCTCCTCGAACTTGCTCTGACGGTCCTTCTTGGAGATGTGGTGGCCGACGAAGACCTTCTTGTCGTTCAGCAGCATGCCGTTGACATGCTTGATCGCGTTGTTGGCGGCCTCGGCGGTCTCGTAGTGGACGAAACCATATCCCTTGGAGTTACCAAACTCATCCTGAGCGACCTTGCAGCTCAGAATGTTTCCGAAGGCGGCAAAGGTGTCGTGGAGAGCCTTGTTGTCAATCGCAGCGTCCAGGTTCTTGATGAAGACGTTGCCCTGGCCAGTCTTGCGCAGAGCGGGGTCACGCTGGGACCACATGATACGGCAGGGCTTGCCCTTGATCAGAGTGTAGTTCAGATCCTCGAGGGCGCGCTCGCCATCGGCGGTGTTGTTGTAGTTAACGTAGGCATATCCGAGAGAGCGTCTGGTAACGGCGTCACGGCAGACACGGATGGAGGCAACCTGGCCAATGGAGGAGAAGAGCTCGTAGAGCATAGCCTCGGTGACAGAGGGATCGAGTTCACCGACATAGAGGGAAGCAGAGTGGGGTTGGTTGGCGCTGGGAGTAGCGGAGGGAGAGGCGCTCTCAACAGCGGTCACCTCAGGAGCGCTGGTGGCAGCCGGGTTGGTGGCCTCGGGGGTGCCGTTGACAGTGTTGTCAGCGGCGGGGGTGGTAGAGACTTCGGCAGACATTTTGATTTTCTTTTTCTAAAGCAAATAAAAAGTAGACCGTTAGCGAGCAATAACACTAGGATGTGATCAGAGCCAGAAGTGTGAAGAAAGAGACGAAGGATGATGGAGGCGAAAAGCTTGGAAGCTCTCGGCCTCGGTCTGAACCAATCAATGGACGATGACAGTAACAACGTCCAGCAGTCTGAGATTCACACAGAGACAATGGCAGAAAGCCAATCCAAGTGTTATCACCAAGCACACAAGGGTGTGCGATTTGTGTGCGCTGGAGGAGCAGAGCACAGTGACTTGCGTCAAGCAACCGGACAAATATCACGAGCTCGTAGGAATGCCAAGGATTTAAATGCAAGACACAGTCAAAACGTACAGTGTATATGAAATCGTCTAGCGAGATCGAGAGGTGTTTGATGGAGATGGACGAGGTGAAGTGACGCGACCACGAGGGATGAAGAAAAGGCGGCGGACGAGGAAATTCTTCCACACACAAGAGACAATGGGTGGAAAAGAGTTCGACTTGAGATAGTCAACCTTTTTTTTATACGATTTTCCGGGTTTTTTTTAGGAGTTTTTTATTTTCCCTCTTTCGATGGATTCGAAAAAGAAGAAAGTAAAGGACCTTTTTTTTTAAGAGAAGAAGAAGAAAGAAGAAGAGTTGCTGGTGATGACAGCAGAAAAGGTGAAATGAGAGAGGAGGGGAGAAAAGAGAGAAAAAGGGAAAGAGCGAAAGACAGAGGGCAAAAAAAGTGGATTATTGGTGACGAACTTTTTTTTTCCTTTCTGTCTTTTTTCCTTTGAATATTGGCGTTGAATTTTTTTTCCTTCTGGAAAATTCAAAGCTAGAAAGCTACGCTAGTCTACTTACAGTAATCTACCCTCGCCGCTCCAAGGGTCTGGCTCGAGCGGCAACTATGGTAAGAGACGACCATGTACACAACAAAAGAGACGAAGGGGTTAGGGTTGTTGAAGCACGTCCCATGAGTCTAAAAAAGAGTAAAGGCTGTTATTGACATCAAATGGGGGAGCGTATCGACGAAGAGGTCGATCCCGAACACCCATGAGGGACGGAGGCCCATCAAAGAAATAACACAACACAGATAAAGCACTAATGACGCCTCAGCTATGCAACCCAGAACATTAATGTTTTGATATTCTCAAGCACTCCTCTATGGCGAAACAAGCAATGGCAATCATCAGCCAACCATATATCACTGCAAAGATACCCAACCTCAGCTGAGGTCAAAGCCAGCTCCCGAGTTAATGGCATAAAGCAGCTTCTCCCGCAGAACCTTAGCATTTGTATACCGTGGCAGCTTGAGCAGATTCACGCAGGTACTAGTGCTGGGCAATCGGTCCTGGTCTTCACTGGAGTCGCGGATGCTGAATCGCGGGTTGAGATGGCTGAACCCTAGCAATGGAGCTCGAGGGGTCGACGTCACGAATCGCAGCACTTTCTGCCGTTCCTCGTTCGACATCTCCTCCATGACCTGCCAGAAAAGCTTGACGGTCGGATGCTCTTCCTTGTCGTCGCCGATGGTATACACCCCTCCGTAGAGTGTGTTGCGCCTCAGGTCCGCAACGTCTATATCTCCGGACTCCCCACTGACCAAGGTTTGCAACTCGGATTGATTGAACATCGATAGCCAAGACGGCTGAATGATGTGTCCCAGGCCTTGCAGGAATGCATTTGTCTGCAATGCAGGCTGTACCTGCAGACGATATCGAGCAATGTAAGAGATATAAACAAGGCGATTCTGGTTGGTCACTGGAATGTCAGATCCGTTGCTTTTCAGATCTCGGGTGACGGTGCGAGTGCCTCCGTTTGGAAGTGGTATGGTGTCTGTGACCGTGAAGTTCAACGCAAAATCTTCCACGTCCCCGGTGTAATTTTTGAGTTGCAGCTGTAGAGAAGAAGAGAATTAGCACAATGCCACCTGGCTCGAA